ACACTGCAGTCACTTTGAAAACATCAGATATATATCCGATTTAAAACCACATACTGAAACGGCCTGGGTCGGATTTGAAAAAATCGGATTTGTCGCGTTCAGACTGTCATAAAAAAAAATCGGATATGAGTCAGATGGGTCAAAAAAATCGGATATGAGTCAGATGGGTCAAAAAAATCGGATTTGGGTCGGATTTGCCTGCAGTGTGAACGTAGCCAAGGATGCTGAAAATGCATCTTGTAAAATCTGCAAACTGGACATTTCTCATGGTGGGAACAGCAGGGCTCGCTTTAATACTACCAACCTTATCAMTTGGAAAGAAATAAAGAAATAAAGCTATTGTTTTAATAACCTCAGAGAAAAGGATCCCTTAGAGGAAATGGTTTCAAACAAGCTTAAGCCATCACTGTCCTGTATGATGCATCCGTTTGGGAAAACATTTTTATTGACAGTCTTTTGGTCTGTTTTAATTGGTGTTCTGGGACAAAATAAAAATAAATACAACCYATCCCATCTCATAACAAATGTCTAATCTCTCTGTTCTGCTCAGTCAGGCCAAACCCCATCACGACTAGTGTCTGCACAGATAACAGACGGTTTAAGACACAGCAGCCATGTTCTTGTWAAAGTAAGCCTCTGTCAACCTAATGTGTCTTTACACGAGCCAGCTGGCAAAGGTTTGCTTGGTGCTGAAATGATGCCCAACGCAAACACACACACACACACACACACTTGCATAGACACAGGGGACACTGTGCAGTCTGTGGACTGGTACATTCATGGTACTTGTTGGCCTTTCTGTCACACTCACAAACTGGCACTCAAATCAAAAAATATCTACCATTGATGCCTTTGTTTCCCACTTGATCTTAGTTCAATACAAAAAAAACATGAAAACAAAGTTTAAAGTATGTCTAACACACCTTAGGCAGCTCCATAAAGYTGCAACTGTGTCCAAACTTTAAATTAGGCATCATGAGCTTTACTCCTGGTGAGGTGCCGAATTATATTCTGTAAGTTGCCTGAACACAACCACGCATGCTGAGAAGAAGACAGGGTTTTATTGTTGTTTAAAAGGGGCTGCTGAACTTAAAGCAAACCTTACGCAACAAAACGAGCTGACACCGGCTGAGGAAAAATCTCAAGTAGGTGGCAAAGCCAGTCAAATCCAAAGCCACGCCGCCAAGAACTGCAAGGGAAGTAAAACGTTCAGATTTGAAGGAAGTGAACTGCTTCACCACTTTTTGGGGCTGCTCTTACCACCAGGCCTGAATACTGGTATAAATTAAAGTACAAGAGTTCGAGTTTACTCCTCTACAGATTCATGGAATAGTTTGATGTCGGTCATATAATGACAGGTCAGGGCAGAAGAACATCCTTCCTGAAGGTCRTTTCCTTGTGGTTCATCTTAACATTACTCAGTTGGAATGCATTTCCCAAAAGTAATCAGAGAAAACAGATAGCAATACTCTTTAAGCTATTTGAAGCAACATTTTATGGAACTGCAAAAAATACTGTTGTATTTAGYCACACAATTACAGAATTTTCTAAACACGAGAAACAACCTGACAAAAGTATGTAATGTACATATTTATAAACCCAAACCTCATTCAAAGTCTCAGAAAGATGCACAAACAGCAGTCTGCTCTGCGAGTGGAGAACAACCAGCGACTGTTTGTTACACAAAGACTAACATTCTTGTCTTTATTCTCTTCTCTCTGGGAAATTCAAAAAACAATGCTCTTACATCCAGAAACATGTTAAACTCCTCAACATCAGACTGAAAATAAATTAGGAACACGTGGTTGAAGGCTACCCAACATTAAAAAAGAGAGACACACAAACCTAAGCAGATTTGTTACATAACTGAAAGAAGTCTTAGGAAATAAAACGTTTCAAGACATCAGACTCTGCTTTAAATATTGATGAAGATGAGCAACATGATTTTATTTAAGCTCCCAGTTCAGGTTCATCATAACTTTAAGATAGATGTGAGTGAATCAAGTAGGCCTGTCACGATAACAAATTTTGCTGGGCGATTAATTGTCTCAAAATTTATTGCGATAAGCGATAATATTGCCTGGTGACCGTTTTACAACTAATAATTATAAAAGCGTAATGTGTAATGGTGCGTTCACACCAAACGCGATTTCAGCGTCAGGAGCAGCAGGTTTACATGCAAAGTC